CTGTCTGTCTATCTATCTATGAGAATAGTCAGTTTTCCATATTCTTATAAATGCGATCCATTTATGGTGAAGAGTGGGTAGAAACGACAGTCTATAGAAACAGTAGTGAAACAGCAAAGTGGCAGTAGTTGGTATGCTAGACCAGCCACGTCAGCAAGTTGTTCATGTGTATTACTTCGTTAATATTAGCCTACAACTTGCTTAGTCATGCTGTTTTTTTTTTCTTCTGGCTAGCCTCGTGAAGAGCAACAGTACTCGTACTTCATGTCGTCTCGAATTGCTACCGAGCTTTACGGGGGAACTGATGTCTACAGCCACGGTATCTCCCCCTCTCTTCTACAACCTCCACTGCAGCTCGATTTGTCACAGTGGGTTACATATTTTACAATATTCTGAGTCATAGATAAGTTACCTCAAAACCTCTTCGTTTTATCTCTTTTGTTTTTGTTTTTTATAAATCCTAACATAATTTTTAAAACTATAACAACTGAAGCTTTCTGTAGACGAAAGTGATTATTTTATGACTTAATGAGAAATTTAGCTTTTCTGAATCTTTTTAGCAATTCTTATGTTAGTTCAGCATCTTTAACGTTTCTAATCTGGTAATAAGCGTGAAGAGTTAATCATTAAGATTCCCAAAGATTTCGAAAATCCTGAAGACTATTATTAAAACCGTTGGCATTCAGGTGGGGGTGATAAAGGTTGATTTGTTTCTACTGCGTCGTTTAACACATTTGTTCTGAGAAAAAAAAATACTTATCAGGCTTACATAACTTCGTTAAAATTCATCAAATATTTTTAAAAAATGTCTTCCCGTAAGCACTACAGACGCTGCTAAAGAAAACAAACAACAAGAACAAAAACTACCAACTTTACTAGCTCTACAGACGCTGCTAAAGAAAACAAACAACAAGAACAAAAAACTACCAACTTTACTAGCTCTACAGGCGCTGCTAAAGAAAACAAACAAGAAGAACAAAAAACTACCAACTTTACTAGCTCTACAGGCGCTGCTAAAGAAAATTGTTTGTTTTCTTTAGCAGCGTCTGTAGAGCTAGTAAAGTTGGTAGTTTTTTGTTCTTCTTGTTTGTTCTTGTTTGTTTTCTTTAGCAGCGTCTGTAGAGCTAGTAAAGTTGGTAGTTTTTGTTCTTCGAAGAAAAAACTACCAACTTTACTAGCTCTACAGACGCTACTAAAAAACAACAAGAACACAAAAAACTATCAACTTCACTATCACCTAGTAAGTCTTCGGATTTACAACGCTACAATAAGGTATTCAATTCCTCTCGGTGGAAACAGTAGATAGCCCGATGTGACTTTACTATAACAAAACACACACACACAGCTTTAGTAAATCTATTATATGACAGAATGTAATTAATATTTCAAATCTAGTAAGATTAGTAAAAATATATAATTTAGCCAAGCTTAGACAGATAATATGTGTTAATTGCTATCATCGCTAAAAACCAGGTGTCGATACTCATAGTAGGTACAGCACAGATAGCTCAATATGTATCTAATTTAACAACAACAAAAAAAAGAGAACGTAAATGATAATAAAGTTCAGTGTATCTCATTTTTCTTGTTGTCATTTTAAAAGCACATTAAACGTTTTTTTGATGAAATCGACATTTTTTTTCTTCGTGCTCAAAACTGAACTGAGAAATTTCCTTCACCACCTATTTTGTTCTAATTGAATGATGTGACTTAAAAGTCGTGTGATATTTGAAACAAATATTTCAACCACAGCAAAGGGGGGGGGAGCTGTAGAATTTTTACGGCACTGAATGTTAATACTGCCATTGGAGAGAGTATTACGTTTATCGTGGTTGGAAGTGACGTCATTTTATCGTAATATCTACAGGTAAATGCTTGTCAGTGAAGTTATTTTTCGCAATATTACATTTTGACGCTTTAAAGATATTCATTTCATTTTATTAATAATTCATTATTGAAGCTACACATGCTAATAATACTTAAAATATAGATAAATTATCGCGTTAAACAAATATTAGAACTAAAATACTTCTTTTGGCTGTTATTTACTTGTGGTTCTGTTATTCATCTACTGTTGAGTTTCTGTTTTTTTAATTATAATGCGTTTATCGTAATCGGAAGTGACGTCGACTATCGAGAGTTGCCACGAAACAACATCGGTAATAAAACTATTTTTGAGCAAACTTATGAAATAAATTTGAATAGTTTCTAAATTTCTTCAAGTATATGTTCGCTCAAACATAAAACGTGCAGTCAAAAAAAAGTCTATCATAAATTTATTGATAGTGAGTTCATAAACATAGATCATAAGCTAAGCCTAATTTTCTCGTACTGTAAATATCATTTTACGGAACAGCAACACAAAACATATTTAAGTTCTAGCTTCAGAAACATCAATAACAGCTCAGAAAAGCACTCATGATTTGTAGTTTTTATTATTTACCCATCCTTTAGTCAGTATGGTTGGAAAACTACACATTTACGTCTTTTTGCTACATATTATTTCTCTTGTTCTTTCAGTTGATTTTTCATGGAAACAACTTTTTTATTTTGACTTTTGTGTTATCAGCCAGAGTCCTTTTTTTTTGTTAATGCGTGAAATTGCTCCTAGTTATGTCTATAAAATGTTTTAAAGATCTGGTTAATGTTTACGGGTCAGAATCTTCTCTTACTGTTTTTAGAGAGTTATATGAATAAATGGGATTTACTCCGCCCTCTATTAAATTCAATATTTTCTATAAAGGATTACACGTGGACTCCGTTTCTGTCGTCTATACAGAATTTCGAGTGGATCTTGGTTCTGTAAGCTGTGGTAACTTACATATAGAATACAAGATTAAATGTGCATCTCGGTTCTATCACCAATACAGAATTACATGTGGACCTCTGTTCTATCGCCTATACAGGATTACATGTGGACCTCGGTTCTGTTACCTTTTGGTAGTTTACTTATAGAATGCAGGATTACACGCGAGCCTCGGTTCTGTAAGCTTTGGTGATCAACATGTAGAATACAGGATTACATGCGAATCTCGGTTCTGTCACCGATAAAGGATTACACATGGACTTCGATTCTGTTACCCATGTTAGTTTACATGTAGAATTACAGTTCTAACTCATATAGAAGTTTACATATGATGTACATTTATTTCTACTATAAAAGTGTACAAGAACCAAAATCGTATTCCATTTTTAAACTATAGATGACAAATCTTTACACCATGTGTAAGTTGCTACAGTTGACAGACCTGTACTCTACTTGTAAATCTGTATAGGAATCAAATCCGCATTTCACTTGTAAACTACTAAAAATGACAAACCTGTACTCCACATGTAAATTGCTACAGTTGACAGACCTGTACTCTACTTGTAAATCTGTATAGGAATCAAATCCGTATTTCACTTGTAAACTACTAAAAATGACAAACCTGTACTCCACATGTAAGTTGCTACAGTTGAAAGAGCTGTACTCTTGGGATGAAACAACAGCAGTGCGAAGGAAGAACCTGGATTCACAAATTTAACTAGTATGTATATATACATATAAGCGAGCAATAAAGGTTCACACGTAGGATACGATAGGCAATAGATCACGTGTGTTGCTAGTGAACTATTAATAACAGCAAGACAGGGCTCTACTTGTAAACTATAGATGACAAACGTTTACTCCACGTGTAAGTTGCTACACTTGACAGAGCTGTACTCTACTTGTAAACCTGTATGGGTATCGTATTTTACACGTGGACCTTTGGGTTGGTTATATATATATGCCAGTTTAATTCGTAAACCCAGGTTCTTTACTCGCAACAAATTTGATCCATCGCCTATCGTATTTTACACGTGGACCTTTGGGCTGGTTATATATATGTTATGTTATATATATAGGTTCTTTACTAGCAGCAATTTGTTCCATCGCTTTTCGTATCTTACACTTGGACCTTTTTTTGAGTCATATATAGCAGTTTAACTCGAGAACCCAGGTTCTGTCTTCTAACCCTATTTACACAAGAGGCCGCCGTTCTGCTCCGAATAGTAATTTGTTTACATCCGTTGCCCCTGTCATACGTGATGCTTGTATATACAGTGTAGTTACAAGGTGAAGCCAGTTATAAAGGAAATGCATTTATTAAATATCTTGGACAAAAATATAATTTTCACTTAAAGAAGTATATATAATAATAATATAAAGATGACGACCAACAAAAACTAGTAATTTACTTGTAACAAAAGTTCTGACGTAACTACAACCAGAATGAAGCATTTTCAGAAACACCTATACACGCATGCTTTTATAGGTCTATGTGTGTTCGTGTTAGAAATATTTTCTTAAGATACGTGTTCGCGTATATCTTCTAATTATAACTTTTTTTTTATACATAGGGTGCTTTAGCAACCACCTCTTTGCTCATTAGTTGTACGTGTCTTCTATTATACTTGTAATATACAACTTCCATTAAGTTTCTTGTTGTTTGATAGAAATTAGCAAACTTAGGCATAAGTATGTCCTTATACATATAATTGGTTCTGTAAATATTTCTAGGGAAAACGCCTCTACTGAGATAGAAAGTAAAAAAATCAATTATGTTCAAGCGTTTCGAATATATTAATTCAACATCATCAGATTACAGAATAACAAAGGAAGCTTAATTAATTCTGAAGTAAGTAAACTACACGATAAAGTACACACGATGAAGAGAAATGAAAAACGTTAAACTATTTTCTTCCTATGTTTATATATGTAAACAACAGTCAGCGACATTTCACAGTGATTCATATAAAAACCACGGGGATGAAGGTACTTAATAAATCCTTCTATATTGTATCTGGATGATTACAGTTTTGTAAACAAGGCAATTGCGTGAAATACACAAAACGACCCTCGAAACATTTAGGGCGATTACTTATTACTTACAAACAAGGGTCTCCACTAGTGGCGCTAGTAGTCTTGTGGACGGCCCGTTGTTTGAATGAGCGTCATCGCTTTAAGTTCTGTGGCACGCTTGCGGAAGATTGTTTTATGTTGAGATAGGTTGTTGGAGTACTCGTTCGTGATTGCTTAGAAAACTATTTGTCTGAAAATCATACAAGAACTATATCGGAGGAATGAATAGTTAGTTCCATAAAAAAAAAGGGGGAATCAGAAAGAAATGGATTTTTCAATTCAATTGTGGATGATTTTAATGATCCTTGTTTTAACTAAAGGTGAGAAAACAATGTTTTACTTGTAGATGTTTTGTAGAAAGATGTTGAGTAAGAGAAATTAGTTAGCTTTGTTGCATGGAAAGTTAATTCACATGAAAACTGAATAGAAAATATATTCACTTTTTTTGTTCCCGTTAAGACTGTAAATACAAACTTCAGTACAGCAGAGGTAATCGGATCTTTTCTATTGTGTTTTTAAGCCAACCGTAAGCTACTTCAACGAAATATCTGTAAATTTTATCAATTACAATAAACACGTGTGCATTTCATATATCTTTTAAATACACATATATGTTTTTTTTGGTGAAAGATTGATACTGAACCGAATGTTTAATTTATATATACACACACACACACACACACATATATATATATATATATATATATG